GAAATGTGCTTACTGCTCGGATAAGGCCAAGGACTTTTCATGCGACAAAGGAGGATACACCTGTTCGTGTGTATTTTCGTGTGCGCGTAGGTGTGTTTGTACACAGCGACTGGTTTAATCTCAGGTTGCATCACCGGGTAACAAAAGCTAATCAACCCCCTGGAGAGCAGAGCTGTACTGTTAACCCTTGATGCTACGAACAAATTAAAAGTTCCATTTGCGCACTAAAGTATAGACGTTGGAGGAAATGCAACGGCATAAAGAAAAAAAGGAGAACAAATGATGGAATCAATAGGTGTAAAAATTAAAACATGGATTTTTAGATGTGGGAGTGCCATTCAGAATGAGAAAGATGATGAGCGCTGCGAACTACTTTAATACAAACAACGGTGGAGCTAGAGACATATGCCTGTATATTGTGTGTATGTGTGGGTTAGGATTCAATAGTATAGAAGGTTTAATCCACATAATCCAGGTATTTATTGAATGTAATTAGATTTCCATCTGCCATTGATTTTCACATCCACTTTATTCGGCGATGTCACTTCAAGCACACAAAACTAGATGGGTAGCGTATGTTAAAGCGAAGTAAAATGCATTGCACAGAGCAACAAAACACAGCAGATGTCTTGTCATTTTGTTGCCAAATTGGATCATATTTTTTCTGTTTCTTTTCCTTTTTTTGTATAATTTTTACTGAAGGCACAGATGTACAGGTAGGTGTACGTGCTCAGACCCTCGAAAGCATTTCTAGTTAATTGCCATGAATACTTTGTGCTCCTAACTTTGTCTGACAGCAGGGAAAATGTAACTAATGCAGCAAATGTGCGTGGATGGACGTGTGTGTGTGTCTATGTGTAAGTATGTGTGTGAAGTGCAGGCAACTTACCCAGCACGCTGCTTTTTAGACTTGTCTGAGATGCCGTCTCGAGACATGAGCTTGTTAAACACCACGATTCCAATAAGCATATTCACCTGAGAGACAGAGACACATTGCTATGATACAAGAGTCGAGAACAGGCGATCAAATGGCTTTGTATTTTCTTTTATTAATGTTTCACAAGGTTGAAGACAACTTTGTAAAAGCCGCATAGACCAAGTTGATTTTTAATTATCAATAAAATTAATGAATGTTTATAAGCCATTAGTAATGGTATATTTTATCTGTATTATCTCTGCTAACCACTTTGTGATTTTGATAGCATTTGCATGTGTGTCATCACTCTGTAAACATTCGATAGCTCAAAAAGTTTTGAATGAATTTTGATAAAACTCTGTAGGGATGTAGAGTGGGGTCACATCAACAAGCCATTCAAATTTGGTTTACATCACCAAGGTCTTCCAGGTCAACTTAAAGATTTATTGATTGAAAACTGACAAAAAGCCATAAAACTATGATTTGGATAGAAAGTGCCATATAAAGATTTTAAATATCATGTCACATGACCTCTGACCTCTCCTTTGAGGTCAATAGATTGATAATAATAAGTGATAATAATGTTACAGAGCTATTTATGGCAATGTTTCCTGCTGCTATTGTTTATGTTGACAACATACAGAATGATATGAGGGGATTCTAAATATTATGCCATTATATTATATCTTTGCTATGTATACTGCAGTAACGGCTATAAGAGTTTAAATACATAACAATTTGAATAGATGGTGGTTTGTGAACTTTTAATAAAAAAAACCCCCAACATGTTTATTATTAAACATTTAAGTGGATTTACTAAACAATGAATGCTACACATGAGCTTTATCTACATAAGAAATACAAATAATAATAATCATACTAAAAATGATGTCTGTCCGTATCTTAAAATGGGTTTCAAAAGGGCAAATAACAAAAGCTTGTACTTTTACTTATTTTTACTGCACTACAAACTTCTTAGTCTTTTAAAAAAGGCAAAATAAACTAAAACTAATATCTAGAAGATACAACATTATTCCCCTAAGAGTAAATACTGTCCAGGGAGAGTGAGCTGACTTGGCCCTGGGGTCGGTTGAATAAAAGCATCTATTTATGAACTATACAAAGTATTATGTATACTATTGAAGCCAAGCATAGGCTTTTTTTCTAAAGGTTTTATTACTTACTAATTCCTACGTCAAATGATGTCATGCTTCAACTAGCAAAATCTAGACAATCAACATATTAAGTTACATGAACAAATTCAGCTTTAATTTGGTGAACTGAAGGTAACAGACATTCCTTTCATTGGTTTCATCCTACTCCTTCTATCCACATAGCACAGGACAGAAGTTTTTTTTTTTGTTTTTTTTTTAAATGAGCAGGTCCTGTACTTTTCTTAACCTATAATTATGGCAGTTCTGGAAGCTTTAAAAAACTGCTTCTCATACTTGTTTCTCTTACTAATGAGGAGTCCGTTGTTAAGCCTGCCAAACATCTGGGTTATAGCGGTGACCCAGTGATACAGATTCAATAAGACGCACTTGCACATGGCTCTGAGCCGAGGCTTGCCACATGTAGACCCCTTCTACTTTGAAATCCTGCCCATGTGGGAGATTTCCTGTGCTAGCGACATGTTCGTCATAATCCTGATTGCCAGCATTCACTCATACGCGTTCTTCCATCAGCCATGGGTTTCTCTGCCTATTCTTTGTTTGATCGTTTATCAGGTTCTTTGGGAAGTCTGCTGGAGGAGCGAGCGGTGTAAGTGACAAGTGATTTTCACACCCTGATGCGTACCTACACAGCTCCTACAATGCATTCCTATTCTTACCAAGCTCTTAAACTGAATGTCTGCCTGAATACCTCCTTCAGCTCATGCCAAGAGCTGCTACTAGCTAAGAGGAAAAAATCCATATGCTGAAAACATGTCTGCCAAAAATTACAACCACTAAGTGGCTGAACAGTTAGAGTCTGACATACACGTACCATGTTAAATATTTGGTTTTCACATCCTTTGCAGAAGCCTAATTTCTGCTCAAATCCCATTTCTTAGAAATGAAATGGGAAATACTCATATTTCCTTTCACTGCATATAATAATAATCACAATAATAATAATAATAATAATAGTAATAATAATAATAATATGTCATTATCTGGTAGATGACACTGCATGACAGATATATTGTATTATAGAGTGTGTAGTGGTTTAAAAAGATACAGTCAATCACAGAGCCTTCCTGATCAGTTCAGTCAGTCTGTTGGTGTCTTCAGCTGCGATGCTGCTCCCCCAGCAGACCACAGTAAAGTACACTGTGCTCACCACAACTGAGTGATGGAAAATCTCCATCATTTTGCTGCACACATTGATGGATCTCAGGTTCCTCAGGAAAAAGAGCCCGCTCATCCCATTTCTTTAGTATACAACTTCTGTGTTGGTCTTCCAGTTCAGTCTGTTGTCACTGTGGATGCCCAGGTACTGGGTACTCCTCCACATTAATAGCCTATGCCATCACAGACAAAGCTGTGTAGCGGTCCACCTCCCTCTGGACTCGATCGCCACCTCTCTGGTCTCATTCAGATTCAGAAGCAGATGACTTCTGCCACACCACTCCACAAAAACATCTACTAGTGCTCTGTACGTCTCCTCCTACCCATCACTAATATATCCAAACACTAGAACTGTCAAGAGTATTTGCGTATGTGCCATGACCTGGAGTTGTACTGAGTCTGAGGTGTACAAGGTGAACAGGAATGGAGACAGCACAGTCCCCGGTGGAGCTCCTGTACTGCACATCACCAAACTAGACAGAGCATTTGGTGGATCGTCAGTATGGTACATGTGGCATTTACGATTCATTAAAAAAAAAATCTCTTTCTCTGATCTCTTCCAGTCTCGCGTGTGCTACTGACAACTACCTACAACGTGCCAGACTGTGACAGCACTATTGTCATGCCAGTCATGTCTGGCCCAGGCTCTGTGAGTCAGCACCATCCTGCTCAGCTATTTGCCCAAGGCCAGGTTCATTAATTAGAGAAGAGTCCTGTGGGAAGGTCTGTGTTTCTCTGCCCAACGCCCTGCTCTCATTACAGCTGTTTGTTAGAGTGCGGCCCCAGCAACAACACCAGGGGGCCAGGTACCACGTAGCAGCTGGGGTGTGGAGCGTACTTTGACATTGCGGAGGAGAAAAGCTGGAAGCGCATCAAGACATACTAGGCACTGAAAAATAACTTTAAGCAAGTTAGTGGGTTTTATGAAACTGCTCCAACTTTCGAAACTTGAATGTTTAACTTCTTCATCTTATAACTTATTCAAATACGCTTTTTTAGAGTCATGCATTTTGCATTTTTTTAAATAAAGCACCAACCTCGCGAGTATTTAGAGTTTTTATACAAGTGTATAAACGCTATTTAATATTTTCAATTAAAGGAATGCGATTTATTACTGTTTTGCATTCAGTTTCAGACTATGTAACCTTTAAATAATAACAGTGGCATTGCAAGACACTAGATTAACATAATGATGAATATTCAGCAGCACATAATCCTGTATTCCCTTGTGCCTCAAACTGCAGCTTGCAGAAACTGTCTAACTGCTGTTTGCTTGTCAGGGATTTACTTCAAAATCATGCATATCACTCTGCACACCTGTGCTGTCTGATCCATGTTTCCTTTCTGACGTGTACTGTACGGTACATGTGCAAACAACAGAGGAAAAGAAGCTATAAACGGACACACACAACAGCAACGCCAGTGGCAGCAATTACCAAACTTTAATGCCCCATCCAGACTTATTAAGCTTAGTGGTGGCAATATCTACCCAGGGATCCATTTAGGAGAAATTAGCTGAGCCACATACAGCAGCACACAGAAGCAGATGATTAAAACGCCTCTGAGATAGAATCAGTGCACTCAGTTTTGCTGTAGTACAACACAGAAGTATATTTACTTCAACATAAAATCGTTTGCTTTATGGCAACTGGCAAAAATGAAGAAAGCGCACATTATTACGTTCCGTGGAACACAAGTTAGCTGCATATTTAGATCTGGAAATACCACTGGACCATAATAATGCTTAAAACATTGGCTACAGAGCCCTATGCTTTGAAAATGCATATAACAGTGAGAGATTCGGGGCTAGAGCTGCGACGGAGGTCCACTCTTGCGCTGCATTGCCGGCAGCTCTTGTCAGCTAGAATATGTTTTTATTTTTTTCTGGGCTGACATTTTAGACTCAGCGATCAAAGCGCTCAGCTCATCATTGTGTCGTGTACACCCTGGGTGTGTATGCTTACATGTGCATGCACGAGTGAGGAAAACCCTCAGAGGTCAACATGCATTTGCTTTAATGCCCCAAGCTGGGAGGCTAACTTTGCAAAAATATTTGGAGAATATTTGTGCCGTGTGACCACAGAGAGAGGCCGGCTGGCTGAGAGGAAAGGAACTTCATCATGTAGATGGAACCTGACTCCTCCCTTAGTCACGCTCCTGTTGGCTTCCCATGATGCACTGAGTGTTTCTTCATTCACCCTTTTTAATTCTATATGTGTTTATATACCACCGTTTATACACCATTACTAAACGCTGAATCTCTTCCAGTGTGGATTTTGTCCCACCTCCAACTGCTCACAACAGATGGCTGCCCCTCTCCCTGACCCTGGTTCTGCTGCTCCTTTTAAAAGGGAGTTTTTCCTTCCCACCATCGCTAATTGCTTGCTCACAGGGGAACGTCTGGTTGTTTGTTTTTTTCTCTATTATTGTAAGGTGTTTATCTTACAGTATAAAGTGCCTTCAGGCAACCATTCTTGTGATTTGGTGCTATATAACTAAAACTGAACTGAACTGAAGCAGTGACGCACTCACCAATACAATGACAGCAGCTGGCCCAACAAAGGCATAAAGCAAACCGCCTTCCAACGATAGCCAGCAACTAGTAGAGGGAAAAAAAGAAAAAAGGAGAGGTGTTAAAAAAGTGCGCAAACACAGAAAAATCACAGCATGTAAAATATCACGTCGCCAGATTCCGGTCTCACATTTCACTTACTGTAAGTGCCAAGTACTTAACAAAAACAAGTAGACATTCAATTAAGTATCACATTAACTCCAAATTTCCTTGGTGAGGGATAAAGCCTTTCAATGTGTGGTTAAGTGCCTCTTTCTGTAAATAATGCCCTCAGTGCTGAGCAAATTTATTATGTACATTACCTAAAACATATCCTCAAACTGGAAATTTTATTTGGTTTTTGCAAGCTAGTGAGACTTAATGAGCTTAAATGTGTCCTCCAGTAATGTCATCAGAGCACGCGGAAACCCCTCTGTCATCTTAATTACAGCTCAATAAAGAGAAAGCTTAAGATGGAACCCCCCCCCCCAAAAAAAAAAAAAAAAAAAAAACCTCCACAAAGCCCTCACGTTAAGTAAAATATGGGAAAGTAAACCTTTTTAAGATGCATTTTATTGACTGGGTACGTAATGAAGCTTTTTTGTGTACATTTTGCTTAAAGGTCAGCCTAGCTGCCTTGGATTTTCATATTCTTGAACAAAACATTCAAATCATGCTTCACCTGTTTGACGTGGTTATTGAAATGCCTTAAAGGTCATTTTGCGCTCACACTTGACAGCAAGGAGATTAATTTTATATTGAAGACCTTAAAACTATTAGTTTCTCACTTGAATGACAGAAACAAGCCATTTGGCCCTAAGCTGGAATAATTTCCTTAATTTATGAGCAAATTTAGAAAATCTAAATCTTTAATTCTTTTTTCAGTGGTGGAGTTGCTGGATATTGAGCCATTGCAATAATATTAACAGAACCACAAAAATCAAAAGCTGATTAGCTGATTAGTTTTTGACGATTAAGGTTTTCACACATGATATGTAAATATGTTTTATTTAACCTGCCGATCAGAGCTGGTTTTCAGGGGGTTAATGTGTCCCTGCGGTGAACAGGACTGTCAATGTTATACCATGCCCACTACATAAGCAGCTAAGATGTGTTGCGTATTGAACATAGTGCGTGCTGGGATAGGCAACTGTCCTCCTGTGGCACAGAAGAAAGAAATATACTATAGCAACTGTATGAATAGATACATGGATACATGGAGAAAAGACTGATGATGTTGATGTAAAAGAATAGATTTGGGGTTTACACACTCAGCTGTTTATAACACACACGGTTGCTTTGACTGAATAAACTAAATACATAAAAATACTCGCCTATGAAATAAACTTTAGTTTGAACACCTCAGGGGGAAAAACACTTGCATATTTTGATTCATCAGCAATGAGGCCAATGAATGGTGGTACTCTGCCTCTAGCCCACACAAATGCATGGTTGAAGCTGGTATTTAGTGATGATATTCACATAGACTGAGACAAAGTCAGGAGGTCTGGAAGCAATACTCACTAGCTGGCTGTGCCGTAACCTCTCGCTCTGGTGAAACCCACTGACACTGCTACAACAAGGGCTGGAAGACCTACAGACAGACACGGGGAGAAAAATCAAAAGTGTGAGACAAAAGATAAAAGAGAGCCTTAGTGGGGACGATGAAGCATGTCGGCCCAATAAGATTTCCCAGTATGAACAACTCTATAAGGCTCCTTTCATTAAAATGCTAAGCAGCCATGCAATAGAGTGTAATATGAATGTATGATTCAAAGTGACTGGGCGCTCTATAGGTAACCCCAGCGCTCTGTACTTCCTGACATGAGGTCTAGCTACAAGCATGAAAACTGGGGTTAGATAGATGGAAGTTATTTTAGTCATAGGCGACGCAAAGCACACAGTGTGGGTGTGTGCAAGCAGCACCAGGAGTACTTGAGCATATGAGATTTAGAGGCAGTTTGTAAAAATGCAAGATATAACTAGGAGTGGTCAATAAGTCATACAATAATTAGCTAAATCAAGTGATTTGTGTGTGTGTGTGTGTGTGTGTGTGTGTGTGTGTGTGTGTGTGTGTGTGTGTGTGTTTGTCTACGCACAAATGAGAAGGAAAGAGAGTGAGACCAAGTGTCGCAGAATGCGTGCCAGAAACAGAAGGAAATATGCCGGGCCCTGTAATGAGCTTGGCTCTGAAATATTCATGTAATTAACAAAGCTGTGATTATGGCTGCAAATGAAAAGCAATTAGAAAAAGTCACATTAACATTAACAAATAAGATGGTGGAGAGCCAGGCCGATCCACTAACCAGTGAAGTTTCAATTAGTCAACATCATCAGTCTAGCATTTAACTCTATGTAGGACGGCAAACCGCGCACCTACACTTCAGCCTTACACGGTCTGCTGCTAATCTAACGCAGATCCGGTCCCGCCCCGAAATCCCCCGTTGCCGTGGCAACCGATTTCAATCACATAATTTGGGGAAGAAAATTGGGAAATGGACGAGAGGAGGATAAGCTGTTTGATCCTCTCCACTATGCTCGACCGTTTCACGCTTTCTGTGTGCATCTGCAAGTGTGTCGGATAATTGAACAGCTGGCACGCGCCCCCGCCGTGCGCCCGGAGCCTTCCTCGCGTTCTGTAACTGCACAGCGTATACATTTCGCTCTGTATCAGGTTAGGGCATCAGTGACTTGGCAGATTAGACCTGTGGGATCAATATCAAGTGAAATGAAATGGGTGTGGGGGTTGTGATTTTTTTTTTTTTTTTGTGCTATCTCACTGCTCATCTTGCTAGGGTTGTGCTGATGTTATCATATGTTTTGATTAACATCCCATCTAACATCCCTGCTGCCTGTTGAGTTATCAGGTCGTCTAGGTCACAGCATAATAGAGTGACATGCGGCACAAATGGGGGGAAAAAAAAGTGACATAGACTCACAGGCGGAGAGGAGAGAGTTTACCTGTAAAGAGTGACACCCTCTGAGAATGTGTATGCATGAGACAGCTTACACATGGGGCTTTGGCTGAGTTAGATAAAATTACAGTAGAAAGCTGTAATGAATGCCTTTTGGGAAATGAAGCAGCAAATAACAGCATACGGTGAAGAAAAATGGGATATAAATTAGAACGGAGCAAATGAAGATTGTTAAGCATAATACAGCCAACAATTTCAACACTATGGCATAATAAGCTGTTACATTTTCATGTAAAATAAGCCTGTCCTGCTGCTCTCCATCACCAATGCATGTCACACAAGAGTGCCTCAATCAGAATCCAATTCATGAAAGGGTCTTCATTTGCCACGCTGACAATCCTCTGGCATCCGAGGATAGCGGATGTTTTCGGTAAAAGAAACGGCAGACACCTTTATTATCAGCTAAGTGTAGAGAATGCCACCATTATATTGGATGTGATAATTCATGCATTCTGCATTTTGAAACAAACGCCGTGCTTTCTTCACTGGAATTCACAAACGCGCCTGTCAAAATGTTCAGATTTCCAGGAAAATCATGGCAACGACAAACAAGCGCATAGCAATACATATTAATGCTTATGGAGGGGAGTCAGGAGAGAATTAATGAAGTCACTGTGTTTGTGCACTCAGTGTGATCAAACGTGCTTCGCGTGTACAGTCATGCAGTGTTAGACTCATGAACAAAAAAGTGACTTTTTGATAACTTTAACATTAAATGAAGATGGACGGTTGTTGCTTTGATTCAAAGACTTCCAATCCAGTGTCTTTCTAGTTGGTCGGCTTAAAAAAAAACCTTTTGGGGGTCATTAAATGCATTGAATCTCTAGTAAGTTAAAGACTCAGCTGGTCATTATTAACAAGTAGCTGTTACTGTGTTTCCAAAGTGCTTTGGTACATTGTTCTTTATATCAGGTGGTAAAGTTCTAAGGACGGAAGATGCCCTTCCCAATGCAGCCCATAAATGCAGAAATACAATTCAACACAGCTGCAAAAGGCTGTTTCTCACACAAAACCTTGATGAAAACAAAAAAATGTCAATGAACAAATCACCGAAACAGCCGTCAAAATAAACAGTTCCTCTGATGCTGTGAAAAACCAAGGTGGTCGAAATGTTTAGATGTTCTGTCTCCCCTTAGCTGCTGAGTTCCAAACAAGTTTCTACGACAAGTTTTACTGACACTGAAAGTCTCGTGAGCCAGACTAGTATTTTTCTGAGTATAACTGACAACAACTTTGCATCAAAGCAGCCCAGTTTGAAGATTCCTTTATCTCCAGCAAACACGATGGAGCATTTGGTAATCGTCGTCTTCTTCCGGCACACGGTTGACCTTGTAACATGTTTAACTGATCAGGATCCTCCACGTTCAAAAGTTGCTGCAACTACAAAGATTCTTTAAATGAGTTTGCCAAAAACGTGTGACTTTGTTTGGCAGATTTACATAATTTTAGAGACTTTTCAGCATGGAGTGTATGACAGTTTATACACTGAAATAATTCCAACATACTTTAGAAAGAGGGGGAAAAAAAGAAAAGGGAAACTGTTCAGCTATGAAAGCGCATTATCTATTTTGATCACAAAGACACAGAAAGCAGTAATTGTTCAAATTGTAGACAATTGGGCTTTGATTTGGCGAGATGTGATAAAACAATCGCAAGCGCTAACAATGAATGAGAAATGTTTTTTTCTGCTGTGCGCAAATAACAACATGTTGTGAATGATTTCACATATTGTTTTGACAACTTGAACTATTATTTAAGAAGCGAGAAAGACTGCGATGAAGAGAAGCGAGCTTCATCGGCTAAATGTATCTGCAGTTGCAATTAAACAGACAAGAAACAGCAACAAAACGACAGAATGAATCAAAGATGCAGATTAGCAGAGCAGCGTTTTGAAAAAAAAACAAAGCATGCTCTGTGTGCTGGAAATGAGAATCTTATCTTTTGAGGTTTTGCAGACACGTGATCGTCAAACGTGATATTAACTTGTCTTCTGGACATGTGGCAATCACAATAAAAAAGTAGAATGAAGTGCACAGTGCCCTAATCACACAAGCTTAGATGCTGGTCAGTGACCATCTGGCAACCACCTGTCGTTAGGGAAAAAATTGTGGTTGCTGGAGGTTGATGGCAGTTGCTGGGAAAATAATTGTTAATGCCCCAGTCACACAGGTCTACACACTGGTCAGTGACCCCCATTTATCCCTAGCAACACACCTGTCACTATAGGCACTTGTGGAAATCTACTAGGAACCAAAAAAAAAAAAAGGATTTTGGTGTAGCATCTTTTTTTATACCAATTTTACCCAGGGGGAACCAATGACATCCAGGATATATGCATTTTTCCCCCCTTGCAACCAATATGGCAGACAAATGTTGAGCAATATCACGCGAGAAAACTCAACAGGAATAATTTCAGGGGTGATGCATGCATAGGGCTATTACAATCTTAGCCCAGATTTCAGGTACATTTATTATCACATTTTTAACTCATATTCTTCTCCCGCTTTCTCCTATCAGAAAAAAACCAACCTTAAAGCCCCCCCGAAATATATTTTTCTGTCAGTGAAAGCAGCTTGTGCTCCCTGTCTGAGTGAAAAGGTAGCTGTAATAATGTCAGATCAGCAAAGAATGTGGCCCCTTTAGCTTCTCTGTTCAAACAGGCAGAGTTTGGGAATGAAACTGTAATTATGGAGGAAACTGAGTCGGTTTTATTACCACAGATCAGTGACACGGGCTGTGTCTGTGTGTGAGAATCACTGCAGTCTGGTACAGTGCATGCCAGGAACCAAAAGATGATGGTACAAAGAAAATGCGACAGACTTGCATATCTATGGCAACTACTGTGACAGCTACACTAGCTTAGCATATTGCTGAACATTCAGGTAGGCTCTATTATTAATTATATATTAATTTTTTTCATCCACTTTGAGGTGACTGAGCTTTAGGACTGTTACAGCACTGCACACTGTTTTAAAGCGTGTGATACTGTGTGGACTCACCCCAGCCGAGGCACAGAAACCGCTTGCGAATGAGTCGTGACCTCATTTTGCCAATGACTGCCAGGTAGGACTGCCACGCCTCAGTCAGCACCCAGCAGAAAGATGCCAAGAAGAAGAAATGCAGGAAGGCAGCAGTCACAGTACAGAGGCCCTAGTGAATAAAGAAAGTAATCGAGAGAGACAAGGGATTACAACACACGGAGAGGTGCTATTTAAACAAACAAACAAACAAACAAAAAGTTCTTAAGAAGAGACGTCACGAATCATCTTTTAGGGCTTGGCAGGGGAATATGAAACCTCCGCAAAATAGAAAGTACAAAGGCAAAAATACTGAGTGGAAGAACACGAGTTCAACCTGGCACTGCTGTGTGGCTGATCGATGCTGACCACCACACAGTTCAGCCTTGCTTAGTCAGAAGACTTAGAATGCCTGCTTTGAGAACTCCACTGTATGAACTTTGTCTACTTCTGAACCCTGGTGGTTTTTGGCAGTTTTGTTTCTAGGCAATGGAGGCTTAGTCACAAGCACTATTATTGGAATCACAAGCACATGGACAAGAATTCCTGTGAAAATTCACGTGTAACTCAAAGAGCAGAAAGTCATTACCTTGCTAAGCGTTTGTGATTGTCCGACCAGAATTAATAAATTGGAGGCCAGGATGGAGAGGCAAAAATTCACCAAGATGATCGATCTCTCCGACCGGATATACCTAAAAGCAGAGTAACGAGAGACGGGAAAGAGGGAGAAATGACAGGCGTGTGCGGTAAGCATTAATGACAGACTGATGGACTGAACAGTGACTTTCTGGACATTGCAGAGACATTAGCTTGAGTTTGCCATCTGCTGCGTGTAATCAAAATACAAACTAATCACCACCTCCCCCCCACCGTAGTTGAACCATTTGTTCCTTATTAGGCCTCATTGGAGTTTTTGGCAAAGCAAATGACAGACACAAAAGAGACTTTGCTAGTGAGAAAATGACCACTGTGAGCACAGTTGATGTATGAATACTGACACTGCCATTACTCTATCAAATGTGTCTCTCAGTGTGTTTGTGAGCTCTCACCTCCAGAAGGCAGCATATATTAGCAGCAGGATGAGCAGAGCGGTGCAGGAGATGCCGCACCCCACCATAAGGGGCACAGAGGGCATGCTGGTAGGACCCATGTCCTAATAGCGGGAGGAAAGAACAGAAACAGGAGAGGGAGAGAGACGGATACTTCAGTGCAGTTGCAAGGCATTACAAGAGACATGTACCTGGATCAAAAAAAGCCTGAGTATTTTGCTCTTGTCAACAAAGCACATCTCAGTATATATCTGTTTGAACTTGAACGTGCTGGTCTTGCTATCGAGGTTTTGTTCCAGTTGCTAGGAAACATTCCCAAACTGACTGATTAATGATGATGGCGCTTATGCCACTGAAGTTGCATCAACTGTGACATCGACATTTGATAATGCTAACATGTCTATGAAAGCGAGCTCTGTGGCCATCATTAAACACCAGATAACGTAATTGTTGCTGCTTTTCTGCTTTAAATATCCACCAACGATATGATAATCAGGAGCCACTGAGGAAATATAATTAACTGAAACAAAATTAAAAAATAAAGCTCACCTACAGCATCTTTTGCAGGACCAACTAATCCTTGCATTAAATTTACATCATCAGTTTAATGAGGCTTAGCGTTAGTTTAAGCAGGCTACAAAAAGCTGAGCCACTCTCCTTAAATATCACTTAATGCAGGGATGTCAAAGTAAACACTAAACTCCCTTTTCTATCAGTGCAAAGACCTTTAATTAAACATTCAATAACTGGCATGTTTTATTACAAAAAAAAAAGACATGCAATTTCAACTATGTGTCTCAATTTTCAACATTGATAAATGTGTAAAATTACAGAAACGCTTCTGTTAGCTCATTGTCCAGATTGTCCTGTAATTATAATAATGTTTTTTTTCCCTATAGTAGAAAAAAATTCTATATCAGATATAATAGTTACTTGTTATTTAATAAGTTAGTTATCTGATTATCTATTACTTAACTATTTGTTGCAATATGAATGGTATGAATAGTATAATTAATCTTTATCAATAGGAATCTATGCATTCCTTCACATTTCCCAAAGCCTTCCAGTGGGCCATATTGGAGTCTTTGTCAGGCCAATTCTGACCCCAGG